ATTGTTTGATATTTTCACCAACCCTAAATGTCACCTCTTTTAATGTGATCCATTCTTATAGGAATGTAGGGGACCTTCATTTTTATTTTGTCTTTTTCTGAGGAGTACTGATGTTGATCATTTTTTCATGTTTTGATACCCTTTGATTTAAAAACCATTAAGTATTAGTCAAAATTTCAGTTACATTTTCTATATATTTGTACATATTTCATTCTTATAACATATACTACATGTTTTTTATGAAGCGACTCTTCAGATATTTTGACTAGTAGGTTCTCCCACCTTTTGTTATTGTTTCATACAAATTCTTTATAGAATCTGAATATGAGTCTTCATTGGAAATATGTATTAAAAATGTGTTTTCCCACTTTGTGTCTTCCCTTTGAAAAGGAAGCCCTTTGGGAAACAAAACATCTTAAATTTTTAAAAATGTTATTGTGTTGTGGTTCAAAACATACAATGCAAAATGATTAACCACACAGTTCTACACTCACCTTACAGTTGAGGACAATTTGCTGTTAATGCTGTCTTCTACTGACACAGACCTATAAACATAATAAAACTTATTTTAAAGTGGAGAAAATTTTTAAATCTTAATTGAGTGACTATTTAAATAAATGTTTTCAAAGAAAGAGTGATTCAATAAATGAAATATCTTCTTGTAACAAAATAAAATAATACAAAAAAACAGATGCTGTCTTAATATTAGAACAAATGCCACCAGCCACCTTACTTTGTTGATTAAATCCTCTTATCCTCATCTTACATATTTTTTAAGAGTTTATGTGAGAAGCCACATTTGTAAAGACAGCCCCTCCCTCCAATTCTATGTTATCCCTAACTCTTCACGTCAAATTAAGCCAAAAAAACATTAAGTAGTAGTCAAAGATTTCAGTTAAATTTTCTATATATTTGTACATATTTCATTCTTCCTCTCATAACACATACTTTATGTATGCTCTTCCTATCAATTTTTGGAATGCAAAACGAGAGGTAAATACTTCTGTAGGAAAATACAGTAAAGTATTAACAACGGCCTCAATAATGATGTTCGAATATTAGGGTAACCCACACAGCTAGCAGAGCTGTGCAGTGGAAGTGTTCTACGTTCATAAATATTTATGTAACTGATTAGAGCTAATGTGGTGATTTCACTTACTAATTTGGTATATCTAAAGTTTACAATACATTGGAAAACCATTATGATCTCCCACTAATAGAGTTATGGAGATTAATTTTTAAATATGTCTTTATGGATGTTTTTACAGAGAAAAGAAGGGAGACGAGTAGAGCGATAAAAACATTGGTGAGAGAGAAACATCAATCAGCTTTCTCCTACACATGCCCCACTGGGGGCCCACAACTGGGGCATGTGCCCTGACCAGGAATCAAACCAGTGACCTCTTGGTTTATGGGTTGATGCTCAACCACTGAGCCACTCTGGCTGGGGATGGAGAATAATTCTAAGAATTTGAAAATATCATAGCCTTTACATTCAGGTTCATAAATATTATCTCTAAGAGGTGCTCTAATAAAGGTGTTTCCCACTGGTGTGAGACTCCTTATCTGAAACATTAATTTTCTGAAAGTGCCACCTATTCTCATCAAGCCTAGTGGTAAAATGAATAAAACCAGAAAACATATAGAGGATACCAAACTGGTTTTAAATATATCCCTGGGCCTCTCCACATATTGCTTTACTTATAGTCTTAGATTATAACTGATGAAATCTGAACACATTTTTTTTTGGCTTATTTAATGAATTACATATATACTAGTGACCTGGTGCATGAAACTCGTGTCCATTAAAAGGGAATTAATTAGAGAAAATATTTTAATATTGCTATTTGCCCTTTCTCTATAATAGAAATGTCAGAGATGAAAGAAAATTAGTAAAATGTATATGAAAATCTTCCTCTTGTCAGAGTCTAGGGCATGCCACCGGAACCAGAGTCAAGTCTCCGCCCACCCACATGCACCACAAAATTGCACAAGACCCAGACCCACCAGCCCCAACCCCATCAAGCCCCACTGGGTGGGGGCGGGGGGGTGGCCTCAGGTAGCCTGGCCTGGTGCTGGGGTGGGGGGCACAGCATTGGGACCCCCAGCCCAGCCCTGGAACGGGGGGTTGTGGGCTGAGTTCCCTTGGCCTAGGCCAGGGCAGGGGGCATGCCTTGAGGTCCCCGTCAAGCCCAGCCAGGTGGGAGGTGTAGCCTGAGGTCCCCCAGCCCAGGTCAGGTCAGGGGGCATGCCTTAAGGTCCCCCCATCAGCCCTGTGGGCGGGGGGCACAGTCTGAGGTCCCTCGTCAAGCTCCACAGGTGGACAGTGTGGCCTAAGTTCCCCAGTCAAGTCCCGCATGGCAGGGCTCGTGGCCTCAGGTCCCCTGGCCTGGCACCAGAGCAGGGGTCACAGCCTCAGGTACTCCAGCCCAGGGCCAAAGTGGGGAGCGTGGCCTTAGTTCCCCCAGCCTGGCACCGGGGCAGGGGGTATGGCCTTGTGGTTTCCCATCAAGCCCCACTGGGCACGGGGCATGACCTCGGGTCCCCTGGCCCAGTGCTGGGGCAGGGAGCATGGCCTGAGGTCCCCCGGCCCAGTGCTGGGACAGTGGGCATGGCCTGAGGTCCCTGTCAAGCCCTGCCAGGTGGGGGACACAGCCTGAGGTCCTCTGTCAAGCCCTGCCAGGTGGGGGGTGCACCCTGAGGTCTCCCAGCCTGGCGCTGGGGTCAGGGGGCACAGCCTGAGGTCCCCTGTCAAGCCCCACCAGGCAGGGGGGTGCAGGCTCAGACCCCCTGCCCCAGCCCAGCACCACACAGCTTCAGGTCCCTGCTGATTGCTCATTAAGGCTCATTACAGGAACTCAGCAACTGCTGTGGGCTCAGCCATCTTATTATGGAATCCCTGCCTCCGCTGTGGGTGCAGCCATCTTGTGATGGGGTGATGGTCAATTTGCATATTCATCCTTTATTAGATAGAAGGTATATATATATATATACTAGAGGCCTGGTGCATGAAATTCATACACTTAGGAAGGGAGTCACTTTGTACACTCAGCCCAGCCTATACCCTCTCCAATCTGGAACCCTTTGGGGGATGTCCGACTGCCAGTTTAGGCCCAATCCCTGGACATCCCTCTTGGAATCCAAGACCACTGGCTTCTAACCGCTTGCCTGCCTGCCTGATCACCCTTAAACCCTCTGCCTGCCTGCCTGATCACCCTTAACTTCTCCCCTACCTGCCTGATTGCCCCTCACAACCTCTGCCAGCCTGCCAGATCACCCCTAACTGTTCCCCTGCCGGCCTGATTGACCCAGTTGTCTCTGGCTCAGCCCTCACACCCCGGACTCAGGTTTCCCTCCTCCACCTGGCCACAGGCACCCAGGACCCAGGCTTCCCTCCCTCTGGCTAGCCGCAGGCACCTGGGACTCAGGCCAGCTTTGCCCAGGCCAGCCGCAGGTGCCCAGGACCAGGGGTGGCTTCGCCTGATCCGGCCGCAGCTGCAGGCTCCCGGCACCGGGGGCTGCTTTGCCCAGGCCCAGCTTTGTCAGGAAGGATGTCCAGAAGGTCGTCCAAAAGACATCCAGTCTAATTAGCATATCACCCTTTATTAGTATAGAGATATATATACCTTTCACTTCCGGTTTCACCTCTGTAGCATAGATCTCTTATTTTATCCTGCTTTATTAAAACAGCAGCAATAATGACAAACATAGGTAAAGAAATGTAGAAAATGAGTTGAATTCTGCGTTTTGAAGAAGCAGATCTCTGGGCCAATGAACCTTTACCTAGAAAAGAAAATGGCCATTTTAAATTATGTCAGAGATTTTTTATTACCCAAATGAAGAGGTGGAGTGGCTATCATTACCAGCACTATTCCCAAACACTAAACATTTCATTCATATATTTTAGGAATATTATAAAATCAAAACCAACTAATGTACAAAATGAATTGTTACTAGTGCTTTACTGATGATTTTGCATTTTCCATTTTCTACCATATTTTTGACTGAAGGTAATGTTTTTTTCATGAAGCATATGTTTAATACTTGCAAACATTCTTCAATTCTTTTCTGATACAGCTCTCCAAAATTCAAACATGCATATCACAGAGATTATTGGAATCATACCTAAATGTGTGAAAGAAACCTAGGCATTTAATTTCTCTTATATTACTATTAGGGGCCCGGTGCATGAAGATTCATGTACTGGAGGTGGGTCCCTCAGCCCAACCTGCACTCTCTCCAATCTAAGAGCCCTCAGGGGAGCCCTCTCCAAACCAGGAGTTTCTGTCTGTCTTTACAATCATATAAGCGAATTGTCTGAGACCCCCCCAGTCCAGTTTTGTTTGTAGCTCACAGAATAATAGAGGCATTTTTTTTCTTTGCTTCATTGGTGGAGATTTCCTGGAAGTTTTAGGATATCTTCCCTTTAATTTTTCCTAGACACTAAGTCGCTGGGAGCAACCGAGGGAGCTACATACCCCCAAGCCTCCGGCTCTCCCAGTCTGCTCTCTGCCCAGCGCCTATGTATGCAAATTAACCCACCATCTTTGTCAGATTAATTTGCATACTCACTCCTGATTGGTTGGTGATCGTAGCAGAGGGATGGTCAATTTACATGTTTCTCTTTTATTATATAGAACAATTTTTTTCTAAAAATTAAAAATTAATAGTCACTAAATAACTTATTTAACTAAGTTGTTAAATCAAATATGCAGCAATAAAAAATTAAAACAGCTCTAGGATTATTTTATACAATGCATGACTAAGCCTGGCATTAACCCACTTTTGACTAACTAATGCTAATATCTACATTTTTCTCATCAGTTCTTATTCATTCTCAACTGAGAATGTGGCTCCTCAGGTTCCATCTCTTTATATATGTTAGCCTCCTTTCTGGATTTATACTGTGTCAAGTTCACTTTCTCCACAGTTTGTTAGTCTGCCTACTTTTAATGTATACAGAATAGTATTCTCACTTCTTTTCCAGTTGGAAAACAGGAGAAGACAGGCAGAGGAGCCACTCTCTAGCTACACTTATCTATAATTATTGAATCTCAACAAACTCCTATTATAACTGCCCCGAAGCTTCTGACTTTTTCTCATAAGTTTTTCAAGTGAGTTCAAGGTAGGAAGTTCAACACTTTCTGTTTGTCTGCTTTGTGTATGTGATTGAGGTTCCCAGTATTATTAGGAAATAATAATTATGTAATAAAAAAATGTAATTATTAGGATTACATTATATTTGTAACCAGAAAGCCACTAAATCAGATGGAAAGATCCTCTCTGACTATGTGCTGCAGATTGATTCTCAGCTACTTGTATAATCTTTGGGTGATCAATGACACTACATGAGTTATTTGAAAACACTGTAATATATTCCCAGGTGGCCTCAAAAGCATGAGTAAAATTTCCAAGAACCAGAAAAATTGCTCTTACTTCTTTCCCTTATACTACTGTCTAGTTTTAACAAACTCTACTACTAACAGCCAAGAAAGCATATTTTCTATTAGCTCTCCTTTTAGTTTGGTGGTATTTATTTAATTAATTACCCTGAGTCTCCATTTTTCACTGGTAAAAAATAGTCCCCAATAATCTGCCTCAAATCTTCTTCTATTTCATTCCAAAGATACTTTGGGAAATCATTCCAGCACTTAACTATTCACATATTTATGAGAAAATAATATATGTGTATACTGATATGTTATATGTTAATTATCATGCTTTTATTTTGATCTCATATATAATCTGGTATAGCTTTGTGTTAGCGCTCTATAAAGTGGGTCACCATACGTATGACTACTCCCTAGTATCTAAGCTGCAGATTAGCCTGCCCAGGAGATTCATTATTTATTTGCCCCCAAAGAAAAGAGAGTAAGGGGGACATGCCTCTTCTACAATCAGGTTGTTTTTGGTGGGCTCCCATACATTCTGGAACAGGGAGTATCCCCCAGTTGTACTCAGCCTCATCCAGTCCTTATTGATCTTAAAACAATATTCAGGAAACCTAGGGTAGCAGAGTAGAGATTCTGAAGGGGAAATTTCCAATTTTAAATTGGAACCCTTATAATTCAGAAGAAAGAAATAAAAGACATCCTGAAAGATTCTGATGGCATTAATATAACAATGAGTATTAATACTATTTTAAACTTGGAATATATAAGATAATCAAAAACAGGGGGAGGTTTTAAAAAGGGGGGAACAGGGAGGAAAATGAGAGATATCTGTAACACTATCAACAGTAAAAAAAAATGTATTTTTTAAAATAGATTGGGACTTTGTGGTTCCAAGATGGTGGTTGGAAGGATGGCAGTGAGGGTGAGTGTGAGTGAGTGAGGGAGCGAAAGGGGAGTATGTGGACATGTGTGTCTAAGGGAGGAATAGCTAGACCTTGCAGGACTTTCAGGGGATGGTAGACTGGGCTCACATGGCCAGGCAGCCTCTTCTGCTGTAACCTCTCCTAAAGCACCAGCTCTGCCATAGTGGCTGCACCATCTTGAAGGTGAGAGCCAGCAGCCACTACCCATAACCACGTGTACCAGGGGAGCCAGCAGCTGCTGCTGGCAACTATGCACATGCAGGGAGGCAGAAGCTGCTGTCTGCTACCTCACAGGGAGTCAGCAGCCACTGCCCACAACCACACACACACAGAGAGTCAGAAGACGCCACCTGCAACCATGTGGGGAGCCAACAGCCACCACCTGCAATCACATATGTGAGGGAAGCCAGCAGCCAATGCCTGCGACCATACATGTGAGGGGAGCCAGCAGCCACTGCCTGCGACCGTACATGTGAGGGGAGCCAGCAGCCACTGCACAAGACTGCACGCATGTGTGGGGAGCCAACAGACTCCACCCACAAACATATCAAGGAAGTCAGTAGCCATTGCTGGCGACCACACGGGGAGCCAGCAGCTGCCCCACAACCCCGGAAAGCAGCTGGTGACCACACACCTGCCAGAGTAGCAGCTGCCCCCCTTCACCACTAGAGGAGAAGCCACCACCAGCAACTGTGAGACCCAACACCAGGCCCTCCACTATAGCCTCAGGCCCTCCACAATTCAACACTTAGATCCTTCAGTCAGAGCAAAAATGGGGAGTCAGAAGAACCACCACCAAAGGAAAGAAAAGGAGGAATCGCCAGAAAAAGAACTAAAGGAAATGTAGGCATATAATATGTCAGAAAAATAATTCAGAATAAGGGTCATACAGTTCATAAACCAGATGGATGAGAACATCAGCAGCCTATGTTAGAACCAAGAAAAAATAAAGAGTGATATAGATACAATTTAAAAAAACACTATGGAAGCTTTCAACAGTAGACTAGAAGTGGAGGACCAAATTAGCGAATTAGAAGACAGGAAGCAAAACATACCAAATCTGAACTGCAATAGGAGAAAAAAATCAAAAGACAGGAGGAGAGACTGAGGAAGCTTTGGGACAATATGAAACAAAGCAACATACATAAAATAGGGGTGCAAGAATGACAAGAAGAAGAGCAAGGGCTAGAAAACCTACTCGAAGACATAATGTCAGAAAAGTTCCCTGGTTAGGGAAACAAAAAAGTCACACGATCACAAAGAGTTCCAAACCAGATTAACCCAAAAAGATCCACACCAAGACACATCGTAATTACAGTAGCAAATGTTAACGACAGAGAGAGAATCTTAAAGACTGAAAGAGGGATGCAGAAAGTGTCTACAAGGGATCTCCTATTACATTATCAAATGATATCTCAACAGAAACATATCAGGCCAGAAAGGAATGGAAGGAAGTATACAAAGTGATACAAAGTAAGGGACTGAATCTAAGAATACTTCATCCTGCAAGGCTATCATTCAAAATTAAAGGGGAAATCAGGAGCTTCGCAGACAAAGAAAAGTAAAGGGAGTTTATCACTACCATGCCAGGAAATGCTCAAGGGATAGCTGTAAAAAGAAGAAAAAAAATAAAAAGGGAGAAGAATGAACACAGGCAAAAAAAAAAAATGGCTACAAATAAGTACCTATCAATAATAGCTTTAAATGTAACTGGACTAGATGCTCCAATCAAAAGATAGTGAGTGGCTGAATGGATAAGAAAAAAGACTCACAGACTGAAAGTGAAGGGATGGAAAAATATCTTTCAGGCAAATAGAAATGAAAAAAAAGCTGGGATAACAATACTTATATCTGACAAAATAGACCTCAAAGTGAAGGTCATAACAAGAAATATGGAAGGCCACTTCATAATACTACAGGGATCAATAAAACGAGAGGATATAACCCTGGTAAACATATATGCACCCAATGCAGGAGCACCCAATTACATATTAAAAAAAAAACATCTGGAAGATATCAAGGGAAAGATCAACAGCAACATGAAAATAGTAGGAATTTAATACCCCACTGACATTACTGGATAAATCCTATAGACAAAAAATCAGCAGAGAACCAGCTATCCTAAATGACTCACTATCAGATGGACTTAATTGACATCTTCAGAACATTTCACCCTAAATCCACAGAATATACCTTCTTCTCAAGTGCACATGGGACATTTTCAAATATAGACCACATATTGGATCACAGGCAAAGTCTCTCCAAATTCAAGAAGATTGAAATGATATCAAGCATCTTCTCAGACCACAATAGCTTAATATTAGAAATCAACTACAATAAAAACAATTTTAAAAAATTGAAACACTTGGAGGCTATATAGCATGGTATTAAACAATGATTGGGTTACCAAAGAGATCAAAGAAGAAATTTAAAACATCCTGGAAATGAATGAAAATGATAATACAACAATCAAAAACCCATGGGACACAGTGAAAGCAGTCCTGAGAGGGAGGTTCATAGCAGTACAAGCCTACCTCAAAAAAAAAAAAAAAAACAAAAAAAAAAAATTATGTAACTCTACAACTTAAATAATTAGAAAGAGAACAACAAGAAAAGCCCAGAGTGAGCAGAAGGAAGACGATAATAAAGATTGGAGCAGAAATAAATGACATAGAGACAAAAAAAAAAACACAATACAAAAGATCAATAAATGCAAGAGCTGGTTCTTTGGAAGATAAACAAGATTTATGACCAATAGCCAGGCTCACCAAGAAGCAAAGAGAAAGGACCCAAATAAACAAAATCAGAAACAAAAGAGGCAAAATAACAATAGACCCCACAGAAATACAAAGGATTATATAAAAAAAAATACTATGACCATCTCTATTCCAACAAACATTACAACTAGAGGAAATGAACATATTCCTAGAAAAATATGACCTTCTAAAACTCAATCAAGAAGAATCAAAAAATCTCACAGGCTGATAACTAAAGAGGAAATTGAAGCAAGTCATCAAAAAGCTCCCAGGAAGAAAAAAGCCCAGGGCCAGACAGCTTCACAGGAGAGTTTTAACAAACATTCAAAAAAGAACTAAAACGTATCCTTCTCAGACTATTCCAAAAAAATTCAAGAGGAAGGCACATTTCCTAGCTCTTTCTATGAAGCCAGGATCACCCTAATCCCAAAACAGATAAAGACACTATATAAAGAAAGAGAATTACATCCCGGATGAACATAGATGCTACAATCTTCAACAAAACCCTAGCAAATTGGATTCAGCATTACAACAGAAAGATTATACACCATGACCAAGTGGGATTTATCCCAGGGATGCAAGGCTGGTACAATATCCACAAATCAATAAACATGATACATCATATAAACAAACTGAAAGACAAAAATCACATAATCATATCAATTGATGCATAAAAAGCATTTGACAAAATCCAACACCCTTTCCAGATAAAAACTCTCAGCAAGGTGGGAATAGAGGGAACATAATTTAACATAATAAAAACCATATATGGCAAACCTACAGCAAACATCATACTCAATGGGCAAAAACTAAAACCATTCCCCCTAAAAACAGGAACAAGACAGGGATGCCCACTTTCACCATAGTACTGGAAGTGCTAGCCATAGTGATCAGACAAGACGAATAAATAAAGGCATCCAAATTAAAAAAGAAGAAGTAACATTGTCATTATTCCCAGATGACATGATATTGTACTTAGAAAACGCTAAAGACTCCATCATAAACCTACTAGACTTAATAAATGAATTCGGCAATGTAGCAGGATACAAACTTAACACCCAGAAATCTATGGCTTTTTTATACAACAACAATAATGAAACCACAGAAAGAGAAACAAAAAAAAAATCCCATTACCATTGCAACACAAAAATTAAGGTACCTAGGAATAAATTTAACTAAGGAGGTAAAGGCCCTGTCTTCAGAAAATTACAGGACGCTGAAAACAGAGATACATGAAGACATAAACAATGGGAAGAATATTCTGTGTTCATGGATTAGAATCAACATCATTAAAATATCCATCCCACCCAAAGCAATGTATAGATTTAATGTAATTCCCATTAAAATACAAATGGCATACTTCCAAGATCCAGAACAAACTCTCCAAAAATTCATCTGGAACAAAAAGACCCTGTATAGCTACAGCGGTCTTGAGGAAGTAGAAAAAAGTTGTAGGGATCACAATACCAGATATCAAGCTATATTACAAGGCCACTGTCCTCACAACTACCTGGTACTAGCACAAGAACAGATATATAGACAAATGGAACAGAAGAGAGAGCCAAGAAATCGACCCAAGCCATTATGCTGAATTAATATTTGACAAAGGAAGCAAGAGCATACAATGGAGGAGTTAAGACTGTCTCTCCAATAAATGGTGTTGGGAAAATTGGACAGATACATGCAAAAAATGACAGGGATGCCCTGATACAATATCTGCAAATCAATAAACATGATACATCATATAAACAAATTGAAAGACAAAAATCAAATTCAAACACACTGAAACTCAAAATGGCTAAAGCATTTAAAAATAAGACGAGAAACCATAAAAATCTTAGGTGAAGCCATTGGCAGCAGAATAGCAGATATTTGTCACAGCAATATCTTTACCAATGCAGCTCTGTGCAATGGAAACTAAAGAGAAAATAAACAAATATCAAAATAAAAAGACTGCACAGCACAAGACACCATCAACAAAACAATAAGAAAGCCGACTGCATGGGAGAACATATTTGCCAGTGCTATCTCCGGTAAGGGTTTAATCTCCAAAATTTATAGGGCACTCCTACAACTTAACAAAAAGAACATAAACAATCCATTCAAAAAGTGGGCAAAGGCCCTAACTGGTTTGGCTCAGTAGATAGAGCGTCAGCCTGTGGACTGAAGGGTTTCAGGCTCGAGTCCGGTCAAGGGCATGTACCTTGGTTGCAGGCACATCCACAGTGGGGGGTGTGCAGGAGGCAGCCGATCGATATTTCTCTCTCATCAATGTTTCTAACTCTCTATCCCTCTCCCTTCCTCTCTGTAAAAAATTAATAAAATATATTTTTTTTAAAGTGGGCAAAGGACCTAAATAGACATCTTTCAAAAGAGGACATACTGAAGGCCAAGAGACATATGAAAACATGCTCAAGTCACTAATCATCCAAGACGCAAATCAAAACAACAGTGCAGTACCATCTCACACCTGTTAGAATGGCTATTATCAACAAATCAACAAACGACAAGTGCTGAAGAGGATGCGGTAAAAAAGGAACACTTTTGCCCTGCTGGTGGGAATGCAGACTGGTACAGCCTCTGTGAAAGACAGTATGGCATTTCCTCAAAAAATTAAAAAATGAAACTTCCATTTGACCCAGCAATCCATCTTATAGAATATATCCCAAGAAAACAGAAACACAAATCAGAAAGGATATATATGTACCCCTATGTTCATAGCAGCACAATTTACC